TATATATTTTAAATATTATAATACTTAATAATAAAATATATATTATAATATATATATTTTAAATAATAATAATAATTATTATTATTATTATTAATTGGCATTAGGAACTCAAAAGTTCATTGCCGCAAATACCAAATCCTGCCATTATTCCCGTTCCTGAGCGCTATCCTTCCATTCGCGGTCTTCGTATACTAATATTTTAAATAATATAAATTTATAATAATATAAACATATACTTTAAATTTATAATAATAGAAATTTATAAATAGTTGCTATATATTTCAAATATTATAATATATATTTATAATAATATAAATTTATATATAGTTCCTATATATATATATATATATATATATATGTTATATAAAATATATTATTATACTTAATCCTTAAAATCATATATACATCACGTGTGTTACGTGCGTTCGCGAATATTAACATATTCGATAAATTTTCATTTGGGTTAATGAGAAATGATAATATAACGAGAAATATTTTGATTAACATACTATATATATATTTAAATCTCGTCAAATTCAAATGATATTATAATACTGTTTAATGATTATTTATTTCATTTTTTTCTTTCTTTTATATGCATACTAATATCAAATACTATATATCTCGTGTTATGTTACCAATAATAAAAATTAATTGAAAAAAAAAAAAACATGAAAAATATCTAATAATTGGTAAGAAACGTATTATATTTTTTTTTTACAGGTTTGCATACTTACGTATACAACGAAAGTACTCATACAGAACGAGAGGAGGACGAAATACTAACTGTAAAGTATGAGGATGGCAGATGGTCAAAACCTTACTACGATTGTGGTGGTGGTAACATCTGGATGTTGACATACACCGTACCTTTTTTTGGATACGTTAACGACACATACTTCTTTAAGTACGTATACCAATATCCATATTAATTAAATGAATTAATTGTATTGAATGAATGAATGAATGAATTGAATTGAAATGAATGAATGAATGAATAAATAAATGAATGAATTGTATTTAATTGAATAAATGAATGAACGAATGAATTGTATTGAATTGAATTTGTTTCAATGAATTTTTATAAGAAAAATAATTTAAAATACTTCCTCTAGCCTTTTTAATCTGTCCAATAATAGAAAAGTATTTTATCATCCCCCTGACAAACCATCGATGCAAAAGGGTTAACATTTTTCATGAAACTACGTGAAATCACCCTTTGAGTGCTGAATACTTTTAACTAAATTGTTTTGTAGTAACGGAATAATTTATTATTAATCAGATTCTAATAATTTAATTACATTGATTAATTTTATTTAATTATTTTTAATTGTATTTATTAATTAATTTAATTATCCTTATATTAATTATATTTAATAATAAAAGTTTTTCTTTCTGAATATAATTTAATTAATTAATATTAACATTTACTACACTATTTTACATTAATATTAACAAACATGTATTTGCATCGATAGATCACTCTGGTAATTTTTACCAAACGCATATATGCGTCTATAGCACTCTAAGGGTTATTAGAAAAACTAAATACATCGCGTTTTGCATCGAATATTTTACGAACAACCTTGTTTTCTCAAACCATCAATTTCTTAACGTAAGTGTCCACGTTTCGTTACCATAAAGGACTACTCGTTAGGATGATTGTCCTATATATCCTAATTTTGAAACACCTAAACAGCAATCGCAATCTGAGTTAATTTATTGACCGAATAAAAGCATGCATTGACTTAACCCTTAGATTGCTATGGACGCATATACGTGTTTGTTAATATTAATTAATTAAATTACATTATATTCAGAGAAACAAAAACTTTAATTATTAAATATAATTTATTATTAGAATCTTATTAATAATAAATTATTTAATTAAATATAATTTATTATTAAAATCTAGTTAATAACAAATTATTCCATTCCTACAAAACATTTCAGTTAAAATTATTCAACACTCAAAGGGTTAAATTAATTCTTTTCTTAAGTTCTTCGTTTTATTTTGTTAGTTTGGTTTATGATCCATTAAATTTGTACGTAAGAAATATTGAAAAGTGAGAAACTGATTGTGAGAGAAACAAGTAGGGGGTGGTGGGTAGTTTGGAAGGAAGGAAGGAGAATGAGGATGAAGATCGATGAGACACATTGAACGAAGCAAATCGATTTTATGTCAAGCAAAGAACATTCCCTTCCATCCTATTCGCGAGGACGACGACGTCATTACACGCACGTAAAGAAGCTTTGTATGTGCTAATGAATATTAAAACCTTTCGTACCTTTTCCCTTTAAACTCTTACGGCATGCGATGCATGGTACTTCGGTTGTTGCGTTAATTAACAGACGTTTCTCGAATTACCGATTTTAAATGAACTTTCTTAGTTCAAACAACGATTACTTTCTACCAATAAGAGAAAGAGATACAAAGTTGGCTTGTCATATTTCATAAGAATATTTAAAGTTACTTAACAATTTTTTATTTATGGTAGAAAAATGTATTCTCATTGTCAGATATTATTTTATTGAGAAGAGAGTATATTTTTTGTTTTTAATTATTTATTTATAAAGAAGTGAAAACTTCTTTAGAATCAGGGTGATTTGAAAATCGTAAAACGGAAGAACGTAAAACCGATGAAACAAAAATATTTAATAAAATTCAATATATAATTTAATTCTATATATTTAATTTTATATATATAGTTTCTATATAATTTTCTATATATTTAATTCGATATTATTTAGTTCTATATATTAATTAATTAATTATAAAATTCTATATATAAAAATTCAGTGTAACAATATGTTTGTCCATTAATAATTCCGAAACTACTCAACTTATTTTAATAAAATTTATTTTATTTCACGTGATTTTTTCCAACTTAGCACATAGCACAATTTATATAACGATTTTTTTTTTTAATTATTTTTTATTACGAATTTAAAGATTTTTATTTAGAGGTTATCTAGGCTCTGTAAGGTTCTTTCAATAGATGGCGCTGTATTGTAATTCAATTGTTTCGATATATTCACGTCTTGAAGCTTGGTTTTCTTTGAAAGTTTCACTTCTACCTTGTGTGATCTGCACACATCTGTTTTTTTGTCTTTTTTTTTTCTTTTGAAGTTTATATAATATGTTAACGTTAAAGTTTGCAATTTGTTAATGTGCATATTATTTAGATAATTTGTTAAATAATTGATTTCTACACTTCGGTGGTAACATATCTATATATATATATATATATATGTAAAATTATTTTTTAATAGTAGAAACTATATGAAGACTATGGTATGCGACAATTTTCTATACTTTAATAAATCAACTTGGTTAATTTGTATATTACCTTAGATTATCTGCAAAATAATTAAATTAATTAATTTTATAAAATTATTTTCCCATAGTTAAAACTATATACAGACTATCATATACAACAATTTTCCATACTTTAACGAATCAACTTGGTTAATTTGTATATTACCTTAGATAATCTGCAAAATAACTGATTTACATATATATATATATATATATATATATATATTGGTAATAATTGGTATAATATATATATATATAAAATAATAGAATTTATAATAGTAGAATAATAGTAGAAACTATTCGAAAACTAATGTTATAAAACAATTTTTAATAATTTAACGAATCAATTTAGTTAATTTGTAAATTATCTTAGATAATCTTCAAAATAATTAAATTAATTAATTTTATAAAATTATTTTCTGATAGTTAAAACTATATACAGACTATCATATACAACAATTTTCCATACTTTAACGAATCAACTTGGTTAATTTGTATATTAACTTGAATAATCTGAACAATAAAATAGATTTGTACACTTTATCGATAACATATATCTTCTAATATAAAAATTGGACACACATATCAATGAGAAGAGTGAGAAAAGGACAAAAGGTAAATCGATGTATCTTCCAGGAATATCTATCTAATCGAACTGAGAGTTTTCCTACGCAGTTCTGGGTACAACTAAACAGAGACTCTAGGAGCTAGCTGTTACAAGTTACGTCAAAGTTTATGACTTACTCAGGCGCAACTTTACCGATATTGCTTCGACAAAGTTGAGTTACCCTCTGGCAAACAAATTACCTTAACTGTTTCGAATTTTGTTAAAAAGATATATGTATTTATATATATATATGTATATGAACATGAGGGTCGAATACGCATTGTCTTCGGCACATCTGGAAATTTTCACAAATTTAGTTTCCATATTACAAAATAACAAAGTTTTATTTCAAAAGGTAATTGTGCCCATAATTATGAAAGTGGTCTAAGTCATGTATCTTTTGTTTCGAGATATTTAAAGATTTATATTTGAACATTATATGAATTCTATATAATATTGAAATAACAAACATTATCTGACGATTCATTTTTGATAATATCTTGAAAATTACATTGCATTTATTTAGTTTAAAATAATGTGGTACGTAATAACTAATAAACTCTTGTTTTGTTTTTTTTAATTTGATTTAGACCACTTTCATAATTATGGGCACATATATACATTCGGACGGTAGATAGATATTATAAAAATGGTATATGATATTGAAAACAAAATCTTGCAAATATTTAATCTTCGGTATTGAAAAGGAAGCTTAAAAATATTTAAAGATTTATATTTGAACATTATATGAATTTTATATAATATTGAAATAACAAACATTATCTGACGATTCATTTTTGACAATATCTTGAAAATTACATTGCATTTATTTAGTTTAAAATAATGTGGTCCGTAATAACTGATAAACTCATTTTTTTTTTTTTTTTAATTTTGACTTAAATCATTTTCATAATTATGGGCACAATTATAATCTATTTTTAATAATAATTTAAAAAAAAAGAAAAAGAAAAGAAAAGAAACAATACATATTAACTTTTATTTCATTTATTCGTGAACAATATAATTACGTAATATTATGATAAAATACAAGGCAAATTATTTGAAAGGTAATTAACACGTTAATTAAAATCATTTGTCGATTGTCTATAAATATAAATAAAATCGAAGATTAATTAAACTCTAACAATGGTGTTATATAATATCTAATTAGTCAAATATAATATCATTTATACATTTACACAGTTAATTTCGTTTATTATTAATAAATATTTTCTAATAAATAATAACATTCTCATTTCTGTATTATTTATACGTACGAAAAATTCAATTTAATTAAAAATCATTTATATATTATAATGAATATTAGAAAGAAAGATAATAAACAAATCGAAATTATTGACAATCATTTAAAATCCAATGACAGTTCTACAAACACCTCCTGAGTCTGCTTTTTGACCAGACGGACATTTTCTGTCAGGTACATCAATGATACTCATTACATTAAAATTAGGTTTTTCTGAAGTTGTTGAAATTTCTGGTGTTGTTGTTGTTGTTTCTGAATTAATACTTCGAGATAATACAGGATGGAAAAGATTCATGAAGAAAAGGATAGAAATCAAGGTGGTTACGATCAATCCCATGGATAGGTTTTTCATATTTGTATGGGGGGTGGATGGGACGGGGGAAATAAAAACTAACAAACAAGTACGTGTACAAATGAAAAGTGAAAAAAAAGAAGGTTCAAAGTGGATATGTAGAAGGGGGGGAAAAAAAATTGGGAAATATAATCTTTCAAAAGGAAACAATTTTTACTAGAAAAAAATTGGAACGAATGTCTTCTTTGTAAAAATATAAATCCAATGTTTAGTTTAGGTTCTGTTTTTTTTTTTTGGTTTTTTTTTTTCGTTTCTTCTTTTGAACAGCTTTCGAACAACGGCAACTGTAACGTAATCGTTAAAATATAATTGTTAATTAATTATTGTTAGAGAAACAAAAGGGATATATTGTTTTTTTTTTTTTTTTTTAATTTAAATTACTTCATTTCTAGAACAACTTTTTGTTTAAATATTTTTTTCAATTAATTTCAAAAATATTTATTCGGAAATAATACGAATTTTAAAATAAGCGTTGGTATTGAATATTCGATTTAATTTGTTTGTATTTTTTTAAATAAAATCAAAGACGTTTTATCGATCGTTGTAAAATGTCAGAAACACCATAGACGTAATTGCAAGATTTTAAACAAAATTTAAACATATTCGCGAGTGCACTCACGTTATACTAATTTATAAAAATCTTATCGAGTACAAACACTTAATTCTTTCGTAATCGACATAAATAAATATTTGTAATGTGTACATATCAAATCGTCTTAGATAACATTTCTTATCGTTCGATTGACACAAGAGGACGGACTCGTCATTATAATTTTATTACAAATAATTTTTTATTTGAAAAAATAATAATCTAAATTAAATCACTCACGACACATTATAAATATATTATTATATATATTATATTTATTATATTATTTTTAATTATTTATTATAAATTTATATATTTTTTATATTTATTTATATTATTACATTTATAATATAAATATTTTATATTATATATATATAATATATAATTAAA